TAGTCAATGAAGCAGAAGTAGATGTTTTTCTAGAACTCTGGCTTTCTCCATAATCCAGTGCATGTTAGCAATTTGGTTTCTAATTCCTTCACCCCTTCAAAATCCAGCTTGTACTTCTGGGAGTTCTTGGTCCACATACTGCTGAAGCCTATCTTGTAGGATTTTGAGCATAACCTTGCTGGAAAGAATTTCCTAGAATTGGTCATTTTCAGCCTCTTCAACATCAGTAATTGGTGCATAAACTTTCCAGGGTCCTATCCAGTAAATTTTTTTTAGAATTGGACTTTCCTTTCACTTCCAGGCGCATCCGCAGCTGAGCGTCCATTCGGCTTTGGCCCAACCACTTCATTAGCTATGGAGCTACTTGTACTTGTCCTCTGCTCTTTAAGGCACCACAACATTTTCGTAGCATATTGGACACCATCCAACCTGAGGGGCTCATCTTCCAGCATCATATCTTTTAGCCTTTTGTTTCTGTCCATGGAGTTTTCTTGGCAAAGATCCTGGAGTGGCCTGTCAGTTCCTGCTCCAGGTGGATCACATTTAGTCAGAACTCTCCACCATGACCTGTCCGTCTTAGGTGTCCCTGCACGGCATAGCCCATAGCTTCTCTGAATAACTCAAGCCCCTTCACCACGACAAGGCAGCAATCCATGAAGATATACTGGATAGTTATACATAAGTGGAAATATAAATGTAAAATTAATGTATTTGCATTCATTTGTTAGAGTCAAGAACTGTATCACAGCATTCAAAAAGTGTGTAATCCACAAGTCAGATTTTGTTTACAAATTAGTCCAGGAAGTATCGAGTTCTTCTTGCTTTCAAATATCCTCATTGTGTACAAAATAGAATGGAAATTATGACTGCAACTTTTGCAAATGAAAACAACCCAAACACTGGGAAATCTCACATATTGTGCTTACTTACAAACACACCATCTTGGTTGTTGATCTCAATCCTCTTCTTCTCCACCCTACAAAAGAATTATTTTGAAACCAACCAATCAACAAACCAACCAAAGAATTAAATAATATGACAACTTTGTAGTCCTACATGGGATTAACCTTTAACTGTTCTTTTTTTTCTTGTTGTAAGAACAAAAGCATAGGGAAAAAAGATTCTACAATGTCTCTATAAAGTCATCTGTTTCCACTTCATATTACTCCTGGCTCAGTGATAGGGCAGGCCCTACCATTATGCAAAGCGATTCATTTGTTCAATGTCAGCACACCATTTACTCAGTATAAAAGATCTTGAATTAGTTTTCATGCACCATAAGTCCATGCATCCTGAAATGTTTTTTTCTGAAGTAATGCAGACTTTTTAGTTCATATGTTTTTGGTTTATGACATTTTCATAGAAATTGCCCATAAAAGCCACAGAGGGAGAAAGTGGATCATTCCTCTTCCTTCCCAGAAAAATTAGGACATATTAATCCTGCTGAGAAATCATGCTACTGGCTGCCAATGAGCCATGGAGCCCAATTCAAGTTTTTATTATTATTAGTGTATAAATCCACAAGCAGATCAGCATCTAGATACTTACAGAATTAACTGATCCAGTTCCAATCCAGTTGATCTTTAAGCTCAGTAGTGGAAGCTTTGCTTGGGGTGCCCCAACATACTGTAGTCTGTAGAGCTACTTCATGTAGCAAATCAGGCAAAACCAAAACAAAAATAAAGAAGACGAAAATGTTGTGGTGCCTTAAAGACTCCTATATTTTAATGTAAGCTTTCATGAACAAATCCACCTCCTCAGACACGCAGTAAGACTTTCTTGGTAGTGACAATTGGGGTTATGGAACCACTTGATGTGAAAGGTCTGGTTGCCCCTCAGACTTTATGACTGCTTGTACAACATTTCCTCACTTGTGGATGTATGCATGATTATGATGAGGATGGGTCAACCATTTCAGGTGACTAAAATCAATATTATCAGAAGGCTACACTCAATTGTAAATCCAGGTTCCAAGAAAGATCACCTCAGTAGAAGAGAACTGATGGTTCCAATCATAATGGGGAGAAAAAAAGATTCAAAAGCAAGTTACACTCAAGCTACATCTTGTTAGTACTGTCAGAAAGCCACAGGGGTAAACCATTTGTTGTCTGTATTTGTACTGGAAAGCCCTGTGATGAGACAAGTCAAAACAAGAAATACTACTAGAAGATGACAATCCCAGGTGAGATGACATTCACTCAGCTGCCAGGCAAGAGCAAAGTATAAATGGCTCTGTCACTAATGAAGCAATTGGATTAAAGCTAGAAGGATATCTCACCGTTGTGCATTGAAGCAAAAGAAAGTTCCAATGCTCCATAGCATTCGTGGGGGAAATGTGCTCAGATTTGATTTACAAATTAGTCAAGAAAGTATCGACCAGTTCTGTTTGCAGTTAATGATAGAACAGTTTGAAAGCCAATAACTCATATCCTTAGAAGTGGCTTGATGGCACATAATATATTCTGAGGTTTTTTCCTTAATTATCTGACGATTGTATAGTGAGAAGACAGGTGGAATGGTTGAAACTGTGACAGGATACAGGTGCCAAGCTCTGCTAACATTGAGTAAGACCATTCAGATGATTGTATAGTGAGAAGACAGGTGAAATGGTTGAAACTGTGACATTGCTAACATTGAGTAAGACCATTCTCAGCCACAAAGCAAAACAAAAAATAGTTATTTCCCAGCTCAAACAAGTGTGTTTGTGAATATTTGTTCTCTATTATGTTTTTAATATATTTTAAAATATTATTGCAACCAGACATAGAATCTGTTTGCCAGCACCAATGCCTGTTTGGCCAAGAAGCAGCTAAACATTCAGTTGGATTTTGATTGACAGGTTCAAAAGTGCAGATTGCCTCAGACCTGGAGCTGATTTCTCCTTTGAAGACATCTGTCAGGAGCCTGGTCTAAGAAATCCTGAGAGAATGTTTACTGAAATCATTCAGGGTAGGACAAACACAACTGCTCTATGCTTTTGTTGTGCACAAATGCTTTGAATGTGCTTTACAAAATTCTATGCTAATTCCCTGGAGATGCATGCCAAACTGTCTTTTTCTGGAGTGCCCCATTATTTTCTTTAAAGCAAGCTTTTTTTTTAATCTTCAAAGAAAACCTGTCTTTTGCAATAATCATCCACAACAGCATTACACTTCTTCACAAATCAATGTGCTTTATGCTTATTCATTGTTATCCCAACAGTTAAAATAATGATGGAAGACAATGATGGTGAAAATAACATTCTGTAGATTGCCTCAGAACACAGGGTTTCTTGAAAGATGGAAAAGTGAAAGAGTTGCAAAACAAGAACATTTTTTTTTACTGCTTGGGAAAATGTGAAGGCAAGAGGAGATTGAAAGAGTTGCAAAACAAGAATATTTTTTTGCTGCTTGGGAAAATGTGAAGGCAAGAGGAGAAGGGGACGACAGAGGATGAGATGGATGGACAGTGTCATCGAAGCTACCAACATGAATTTGACCCAACTCCGGGAGGCAGTGGAAGACAGGAGGACCTGGCATGCTCTGGTCCATGGGGTCACGAAGAACTGGACATGACTTAACGACTAAACAAAAACCAATCTAATAATTAGAATGTAGTTTTTGGAGCAGATGCTTTGTATTGTCAGCAGTTAACATCCTTTAATCCTTTGGAGGCATGTCAACAAGGTGACCACTGTCACATTGATTCTGAAGGATTTTTCCCCCTGAACCAAAAAGTTAGAAACATGTCATTTAAAGGAGAATTCAAACAGACATCTGAACAAAGAAGTAGCTTTATTTCATGCATTGTAAGACTGTAGAAAGGCATGGTTTCAACTCAACAGCTTGCGAGACAAAAGAAGACAGCTTATGAGATAAGGGCACAGATTTTTCCCCCCTCAGTATTATAGGGATCTTCAGGTGGATTTCAGCCATATTTATAAATATTCATTGCATAAATCTTGATCATTGCAACAGGTGAAGTCTTCATAGAAGTGATTATTGTTGAAAAATTTAGCTCTTTTACCACAAAAGATTCTCTCTACACAAGTTCGAACAATTGCTTTTAATTCTCCGTCTAAAATAAATGGAAAAATTGTGAGAGCAAAGAGTCAGCTTTAGGTTTTTTAAATATAAATAATATTTCACAGTAACTATCTAAAGTGTACTACAGTCCATCTTCCTTCTTTATAATCCTACCACTGGAAGCTGGAAGGACTGGAAGGAACCCTATGGATCATTGAATCCAACCCCTGGCAAGAATGCACGGTGGGGAATCAAAACTCCCAACCTCTGCAGCCAGATGCATAAAACACTGAGCTTTCATCACATACCCTTCCATTTAGCTGCTCATAGTCCCATTTTGAAGATGAAGTAAGAATGCACAAGTCCAGGACTGATAAAGGATTTTAAGCAAAATATGGAAGATCATCTGTAGTCAGCAGATGACGCAGTTCTTTTTGACCCTAGCAACACCAACAGCATTGAGACAGGCCTATTTTTCCCTGTCTAATCTCTGTCCTTAACACCATTCAGCAACATTGATCTTCCTCATGATTTGCAAGAACTTTGACTATAGTAATGGGCAAATTCTCCTTTCCTCTGTTGGAAGTCACTCAGTTGAGAAGATACATGTAATTACATGGGGAAGAATAGAGACAGAAGACCTCCTCAAGTTTCCTAGACTGACCTCTACCTGCTCTGACCTGTGCTGATCTTTCTTCAACCTTAGATTACTATTCTTAGCATTGCTGATGTCACTTTTTTCCTCTAACGCCTTTCTTTTGTGCTTCCAAGGAGACATCTTGCATTTGTTCCCTAGATATGAAAGGGGCAACCTTAGCTCCTGACATCTCCAGCTTAGTTAATTAGTACTGGGACTTCTATGACTTCTCCTATACCAAAGTTATGTCTCTAATAAAGACAAGCTTTTTATTTTCTTAGAAAGAAGTGCAAATGTAATTTCTTTATATTGAAGCATGCCCACAAGTGATCCGTCCACATTTCAAAGGGTTGAAATCTACAAGTTACTCCAGTACTGCTGCATGAGTACTTTCAAAATTACTGAAGATGGAAATATTTCAGTATTGCTGAGATTCTGGGAGAAGCATTTCCTGTTACATCATCTGATCAGTGGGGGAAAATGCAAATCAGGGTGCTCCAAACCTGTAGAATTTCCCCCCTAGCATGGTTTCCCCCTCAAAATGTTTCATACCTTACAGCAACCAGAGAAGAAGCAGTGTAGGGATAGTGTGATCCATGAGTCCAGAATTAAAAATCTCAATATGAGCTCAGTATAAGATGTCTTACCTACATAGAATTTGTCTAAACCACAGGTTTCCGTTTTAGTGGCTTCACAGACATCCTTCCTGTCAAATGGTTTACATATTCCACCCAAAGTTTCTCCTTTTTCGAAGCATTTTCGACACTGTAGAGCATGTGCTTCAAAATATGAAATTGTCATGATTATCAATTTCCAAACAGAGCCTCAGCTGGTAATTCAACATGAATATTGTGTCATCATTTTGCTTTATATTCCATACATTCAGCAGTAAACAAATTATTTAATTAATATTGTTTAAAAGGAAGCAAAGGGCATCAAGGGTCAATAACATTTTTGAGAAGAACAGGGTGTGTGTCATCCTATACAACCTTTATCAGGCAGTAAGGCCAGTTGAATTCAGTCTGGTTTAATTCCAAGTAGACATGCATAGTATTGTACACTGCGTTTATATGAATTTTCAGTAAAGAAGCACTGGATACAGCACAATCAGCATTCCCTCTAATTTTCCACTAGTGCTGGGTTCTGGCTGTGACTGGAAGCAATTGGACAGCAACACTGGATCGGTAACATGACACCAGTTCAGCACTGTGCCTCCATTGTGCAGCATTGAGCACAACCTTACCTTCTGTTAGTTGCTTCATGGAATAGTGTCATCGAAAAATATTCAGGGCTTGTTCCAATTTCCCCTCAAAAGCGTTTTATATTTAATTAAACACTGACATGCTTAGTAAATACGCGATATTGTGTAGCTACACTGATGTAACTCCATAATCCTGTTGTGTAGTGACATATATGGAAATCATACTGCATAACGCATAGCAGCTACTTCTTCAGGAGTAACTACACATCAGGATTGGGGTCACTGTTATTGGAGGGAAAGCTAGGATATTGGACTAGTTATTACCATACATAGTATTTCGGTGAACGGCATGACCTCTGGACTAAAATACTGAAAGAGAAGGAGCAAGCAACACTGTATGTCTGCATTACCCTTTCCACTATCACTTTCCTGTATTCTTCACCAGGAAGACTTGAACACATGACCACAACAGTTTTAGACTGTAAGCAACTTACATTAACACGAGGCACACATATCCAGTGCTTTTTTACCTGCTGAAATCATGTATGCTGATCCTCTCTATTCCTTCTATGAATGCGAAGAAACGTTGGCTAATTTTTTTTCCATCTCACAGATTTCAGCTGCGTCAACACTATGAGACTCTCAATGCAAAATTGTCAAACCCTGCAAGATATTGCATTTCCACACTGGGAGCTGAAAGACTGTTTCTATTTTCTATCAGAATTACTCCAGGTTGCCCACAATGTTTTTGTCTCTATAAATCTAATGCTTTTTTCCATTTAACAAAGGGACACGAAGCAAGCAAAGAAGGACTGTCTGGTTCTTAAAAAACCAGACCAAACAAATCAGTCAATGCTTCGGATCCTTACATTTCCAGACAAGGAAACACTGACTGCACTTTTGAGCTATGTCTGAACATTATGCCAGTCACATCACCTGCACCTCTGTAATCACATGCTTTGCAATGTGTGCAACATCATGTCAGTATTGTAAAAAAATATTGCACCCTTTCACAAAGTGAGCAGACATTTCTACAACTCTTTGGAGATGATAGGATCAAAGATTTACATCCCTAGTTTCATCTCCATTCCCATTCCCAGCTGTGTCAACCTTCTGCCAAAGGAGCTGTTTTGTCCTTCCCAGTCTTGACAGAAACTTTCTCTCCCTCCTTTCAGTGGAACGTACCTCCAAATACCAGGGCATGGAAGACACAGATAGCAAAGAGCAGGGTGTGGTCCATAAGAGGCATCTGGGCATCAGTGGAACCCTGAAGCACAATAGATGAAATGTGGGACTCCAGTCTCTCTGAATAGGTACGTTGGTTCTTTTTTTATATACCCTTAACAACCCGCAGGGAAATCACCTGAGAGAACATCTTGTCCGGATAAAAGGGAAATAAAGAAAGCCAAGTGGGACCCAAAATCTTAAATTGACCATCTAGCATCACACATAGGAGGTCTGTGATGCCATAAGTATAAAAGAAGGTAAAACAAACTCAATCCAGTTACACAAAACTCTATTACTCACAAGAATATCGCAGTTTGTATTACTAGCAGAGATATAGATTATGAAATCCACCAGGAAGACAGCTAGTGCTTAGAATTCAATTGTGTTCCTACATTGCTGTAAGTGGTACCGAAAATATATATGGCAGAAGGAAAGAAATGGCAGGTTTTTTCAAAGTATCTATTCTGACAGGATGTCATAAAGCTGGCCACTTACCAACCAAACAGCAAAGAAGGTTATTAATGAGCGCTGGACATTCATGAGTGTCTTAAATACATCCATGTCTGTATGGTGACTCTCTCATCACCCCATATGTGGATTCAGCTTTTTTTAAGAAACCAAGGAGGGTATGAAATAGGGAGCAAGTCTAAATACGCCCAAGGACTCCAATTATCACAAGAAAAGCACCACCTCTCCTATTATTGGTAAGCAACTCAGAGTGGGTGGGCTTTGACCTGCCGTCAGGCTTGACGTCAGCATCTTCCCTTCCCCCATAAGGTTCCCATTGAGAGATAAGGAAGGGTTTTGAGTGGCTTTCCTTCTGAGGTTATTATTCAAGACCTGTATCTTTTGCCCCAACAGGTGGTGCAACAAGCCCTGGAAGGTGGGAAGAGAGTGGCAAAAAGCCCACTCCAGAGGTTTCCCTCCCAAGGTAAAGTATGAAAGGGGCAACAGTAAAGAAAGATGGAAAGAAGAGTCTTGAGACAAAGGGAAGTGAAGAAGAGGAAGACCGAGGACTGGAGGACTAGGCTGATGCCCCCGAATAGAGAGAAGCCGTTCTTCCATTATACAGGAGTCACTTCTAAAAATCTGGATTTTCCTTTCTCAAGCCAAAGCACTCCACAAAGCAGCAGAGGTTGAATGTTTTTGTTCAGGTCAGATGACAAAAACATTCTGACTGTTGGTCCTGTTGAGACCTCAACTATCAAAACCATCCCAATTCCAACACAACTGTGTGGGTGGAGTCACCACATGTGATTTTAAAAACTGCCCCAGATAGCAAACCCTGACTGTGCCATAAGTAGAAGTGGACTGATTCCTGCTGAGCATCAAAGTTGATGGCTAACCACACGCTTACCTCTATAAGTCTGGAGATCAGGTGTTGCCCTATAGCATTGTGCCCATATAATAGTCCAGAGTGTGGCAGATACAGACTGAGGGAGCAAAGATGGAGGATAACTGACCCAAAGACAAGAACCTGCTTTTTAAAAAATTAATTCTGTAATAGATGTGGGCACCAATCAGGAAAACAGCAGTTCATGACGGTTCAGGGTTCATTGCTATTCACAAACCACAAACATTTATAAATGTTCTGATGCAATTAACCATTACACAGTTCACACAATTCTGGACTTCCGGGAGTGGTGGAATAGTCACTGCATGAGTTAGATGCTAAACTCACTGTGAGTCTTCAAGTCACTCTACTCCCCATCCCTTTCACGTTTGGTGAAGACTGGATTTGGGACATCCAAGTTATCAGATTCCTCCAGGAAAGAGCTCTTTGGCTAGCTGCTGGAGAGCATTTTCCTGGGGGGTACCTGATTTGAGGGAATTTAACTTGGACCTCCAATATTCAATCTTCACCAAGCTTGGAAGAAGTGAGGAGTATAGCCAGACCAAGGGTTCAACCAAGTTTGGTGAAGATTTGGTTTGGGGTGTCCAAGTTATAGCCCACACACTAATCACCAATGCTGGTAACAACTCCACATTTTGTTTCATTCTGGGCAAGTGTGTTACCCTGAAGCATCCCAAAATGAACCACCAAATGGATGATTACTTTTTTGCTTCATGGTTCAGTTCTCTATTGCTTAATAAAAGTTCTGTGGGGTTCAAAATGTATCTGAACCTTCATTGGAGTAATGAGTAATCCTGGTGGGCCGTTTGATGTCCCTCAAGCAATGGACAGGCTGGGGACTCTCAGAGCATCCCATAATATACAGGAAAGGTCTATAATTAGAATACCAAATTGACATTGTGTAGCCGTAAGCAGTGCACAATACTGTATACATAAAAGAAGGAAAGAAATGACAGGTT